TGCTATCTTTCCTTCTTTTCCAGGTGGAAACCATTCCTGATTTAGGAATGAGGAGATTTGTGAGCGAGGAGGAAGAAGGCATTTCCTGTAGCGGTCCCGTACTGTCAGCGAGGATTCCAGGTAGTGATTTTGCTTACAGGATTTCAGTCTAGCAGCAGGAGCATTCCAGAAAATATCTTGTAATGGGATCCAATTAGTAAAATATTCTTCTATTTGCTTCAACATGGGTTCTGTGTCACTGTTTAGAGTTTTTACCGTGCAAACTAAATTGCTGGCAGCATAATAGAGTGCCAAGTCCGGGAGCTTGAGGCCGCCCAGAGTAGCTGGGGATTTTAATATTGAAAAGGAAATTCTAGGTTTTTTGTAATCCCAGAAAAAAAATTAATTGATTTTTGCTAGGAGTTTCTGAAGTATGTTAATTGGTAATTTCCTAAACAAGAATAGAAATTTCAGAAGAAAAAAAATTAAGTAAATTAAGTCTGCCTGCCCATGATGGATTTAGGCGGTTTTCAATGAACTCTTCACCTCTTGAAAAGTAGTATTAAAATTACAAGATAGCAAGTTTGTTAGATCAGGAGGTATTATAATGACAAGGGATCTCCAGTTTGACAGGGACCATTTGAATGGGAAGGCAGCTTGGAGTCTGTCTCTCACCTCTTTCTTGACTGAGATAGAAATTATCTTTGGTTTAAGTAAATTCACTTTCAGTCCTGTTAAGGACTGCATCTTATTGAAAATCTGTTGCAATTCAGTAAGCGAAGCTTCTGAGTTTGAGAGAAATATAATCAAGTCATCTGCATAGAGACTAACTGAATGGACCACGTTGTTAACTCTGATGCCTAAGATTGTATGGTTGGTTCTAATGGCAGACACCAAAGGTTCTATTGCCAGGGCAAAAAGGAGCGGTGACATTGGGCACCCTTGCCTGGTGCCTCTTTGTAGTTGTATGCCCCTGCTTGTAGAGTTGTTTGTCTGGATCTTGGCCTTAGGGAATGCATACCTAGTCTTTATAGCTGTTTGAAATTTAAGTCCAAAGTTCATAGTTTTCAGAAGTAAGTGTAAATATGTTAATTCGACGAGGTCGACAGCTTTTTCTAGGTCCACTGATAGCATTAAAGAGTCCGTATCTTGGACTTTGCAGTATGAAATTATGTTCAACATGCGTCTGATGTTATCTGTTAAAGCCTGTCTGGTCTGGTTCTATGTAGTGATGAATAATGTTTTGAAGCCTTGCAGCCAGTATCTTTGAGAATATCTTTGTGTCACAGTTTAAAAGTGCGATGAGTCTGTAAGAACTAGGTAGTTCTCTGTTTCAAGAAGGTTTAGGGATAGGAATTATCAAAGATTCTGCCCAGGAAGGTGGCATTTTCCCTGATGTCAGTATGTGGTTGCATGTATAAGTTAATTGATCCTTCAAAGAAGACTAAACATTTTGTAAAATTTCAGGCCAAACCTATCTGTGCCGGGGGCTGTGTTTCATTTTATTTGAGAGATTGCTTTCTGAACCTCCTCTGAAGTAATGGGAGAGTCTAAAAAAAGGTTGTGTTCTGGAGATGGTTTTTTAATAAAGTTTTTGTTTCGCAGGAATTGTTGGATGTCTTCTTCCTTCGGGTTATTAGAGGTATATAGTTCTTAGTAGAATTTAGCAAAACACTCCCGAATATCCAGTGGGTTAACCAGTCTGCTGTTATCCTTACTTCTCATTGTGAGTATCTTGCAACCCGCTCATTTCTGTTTAACATGCCATGCCGATAGTTTTAACCTTTTGGGGGCTTTTTTTTGCCAATATCATTGTTTGATATAAAGGAGTTGTTTCTGGATTCTTTGAGAATCTATGGATTGTAGAATTTTCCGTTCTGCCTCCAGTTCTTTCAATACTTTCTTGTTTCCTGGTTTTTTGTGTATTTTTTCAGGGTCTCTAATTTTGCTCATTAATGGATTGATTTTTTTGTTCTCTTTCTCTTTTTAGGTTTGCAGCTAAGCTTTCCTCTCAACAGTGCCTTGAGAGCATCCCAGACCATGTGTTGTTTCACTTCTTCATTGTTGTTTTCTTTGAAATAAATGTCAATGGCTTGTTGAATTTCCTCTTTGCAGCATTCATTTAATAAAATGCATTTATTCAGTCTCCCTTATTGTCAATTGTGTGCTTGGTGTTGTTTCAGTAAGTACATTTGTATGAAGGCATGATCAGACCACATGAAAGGACCAATTTCAGGATTACTGATTTTGTGCATGAGAGAATCAGAGATTAACAAGTAGTCGATGCATGTATAGGAATGAAACCTGTGGGAGAAATAAATATAGTCCCAATCTCCTTTGTGCAATACTCTTCATGCATCCTTACAGACTGTATTTCTCCAATATCTCATAAGATCGCCCCCAATAACTATGTGACCTTCCATGAATTTGTCTAATTCAGCCAGAGTTTCATCTAGAAACTTCTCCTGCACTTCATTAGGAGCATAGATAGAGGCAAAAGTGAACTGCATATGATCCAGTGTGCCTTTAAGAAACAGAAATCTACCTTGAGGGTCTGTCAGCTGTTCGCCACAGTTAAACTGCACAGATTTTGAAAAAAAGAATAGCTACACCACGCAACTTTGAAGAACCACAGGCATTATATTGTTGCTCATACCAGGAAGAGCTTAAAAACCTTTTTCTTTCTGCTTTTAAGTGTGTCTCCTGTAGGAATAGAATGGATGGTCTCTCTCTTAGAACATAAGCCGTCATTCAATTACATTTAATAACATTGTTCAAACCATGGGTGTTGATTGATCTAATTTTGTAGTAGTCAGTCATTCTGTTTACACTTTTTTTGGTTACAGAAGTTAGCTGAGAACTACTTAGTATTTGCCACTTACACTATAATTTGAAGGTATTTAAAAAGTACAATAAGGCTTCCCTGCAAAGCTTGCGAAAACAAAAAAAGGAAACTTATTCAAAACCCTCTACAACCCACCCTCACCCCCTCTCCAACTTAGAACCTTAAGTACTCTTAACAATTAAGAACCTTACCAAGAGGCGAGATTTAAGAAGGAGTAACAGTGGTCTCGGTAGCTTAGATCTTGCTCTGATCAACAGGAAAGGTTCTGCCATCAGAGAACACTGATAAACCGGAGAGCAAATCTAGACTCTACAACGCCCCTCCCCCTAGGCTCCAGTTTTTTCAGTAGGTTTAAACAGAATGACCAAAAAAATGCATACATCAAGGAAAGCAATAAATTCTGTCTTTTGCATGTAAAACATAACCAGCTTAAAGCCCTCCTGGCATGATTGGTACTGGAATCTTGCTAGTTTTCTGAGGTGTTGCAGGAAAAAGCCTCCTGTGTTTAAAGGCTTTCTTTGCATCTTGCTCCATTGGGGTTTCCTCTTGCAGTGATTGAAGCAACGCCATACCGGAATCTTCATCTGAGGCATAGAATTGGAAGTTTTGGTGAGCAACATATAATTTCCCCAAGGGCAACCATCGATATTTTTGGTTCATAGTTTGAAGCTTTGTTGTCACTGGTTTAAGAGAGCATCTAATGGCAATGGCTTCCTTGGGGATATCTGGAAAAACTTGTAAGGTGTCTCCATCAAACTTAAGCATGCCAGGAGTTCTGGCCAGCTCTAATATTGTCTTTCTGACTCTGGCATCGCATCAGGGATTGTTAATAAAATGTCTCTTGGCTTGGTGCGTTTAGTTCTAGCAGAGGTCCCCATTCTTGTAGCATAAGTAATAACTGGGTACACCCCTTCTTCCAGGTTTAAAGCTGTTGACAGTAGGGAAGCCATGAAGGATATACGATCTTTGTTTTCCTCAGCCTCCTCTCTGAGGCCTCTTACTTTTAAATTGGATGGTTTAAAGTCAGCCTTTAAAGAAATTAGTGTGTCTTTCTGGGCTGCTGTGGCATCTTGCAACTCTTTGATACTGGCCTGATTAGTCAGCCCTAGTTCCCAAGCTTCATCAACTCTTTGCATTGTCAGAGAAAGGGCCCTTTGTATCTCATCTAGCTGCTCTGAGAGTGCTGACATTTTTCCCAAGAGCCCACTCTCCATTGTTTTTAAATGTTCTAAAATGAGGTTGGAGGATGAGGGACTTACCGGTTGTTCCAATGGGTCTGAGATTGCTGCTATTTTGAATTCTGTTTGCTGGGCTGCACCTTTTTGTGAAGTGGGCTTGAAACTCAACATCAAAAAAACTAAGATCATGGCATCCGGCCCCATCACGCCTTGGCAAATAAAAGGGGAAGCCGTGGAAGCCGTGACAGACTTTACATTCCTGGGATCCAAGATCACTGCAGATGGTAACTGCAGCCATGAAATTAAAAGACACCTGCTCCTTGGGAGGAAACCAATGGCAAACCTAGACAGCATAATAAAAACTAGAGATATCACCCTGCCAACAAAAGTCCGTATGGTCAAAGCAATGGTATTCCCAGTAGTAATGTATGATAGTCAGAATTGGACTATAAGGAAGGCCGAGTGCCAAAGAGTAGATTCTTTTGAATTATGGTGCTGGAGAAGACTCTTGAGAGTCCCTTGGACTGCAGTCAATCCTAAAAGAAATCAACTCTGCCTGTTCCCTGGAAGGCCAGATACTGAAGCTGAAGCTCAGATACTTTGGCCACCAAATGAGAAGGAAGCAGTCACTGGAAAAGACCCTGATGCGGGCGTCAGGTCCCCCATGTTGACATCTGGTGGTAAACCTGAGGAGTCAGGGCAACATGGGATACACCACTGTGGCCCAGCCGCTGTAAGCCTTCCCATGTGCCACACGCTTCCTGTCCCTTCCTCCCACTCACATTCTGGGTCTCATTGGACAGCCTCCAGGGGTTCTGTGTTCTCCTCATCAGCATCCGGTGCTGCTTGTGACGTCCCTGTAGAAGAGAAAGACTGATTTACGATGGGGCCACTGAGCCCCAGAAGCTGGGCCAATAGCGCTCGAGGTGCTTCATGGCCAGTCATTGGATGCCATCATGGTGATCCGCAAAGATGCCCACCATGAGCCTGGCACTTACCGGCCAGACAGGCCATCTCGACATCTCCGCCATCACTCTTTTCCTGGTCACTGCTCCATTGCTGGGTTGTGTTCTGGGTCTCTGAATCCGAAAATGGAAGGGGAGAGGCATTCTCACCACCGTCGGTGCCTTCTGTGCATGTCATGACTGCAGCTGGGTTGTGATATCTCTGCCCAAGGTCCCTGTATCAGCACCTTATGGCTCCGCTGACTGGGAGCTCCAGTGGACTGCTGTGCGTCCACTGTGGCATCTCCTTGTGATACACCCACATGGAAGGGTGGCCTCATGTGCCGGGCATGTGCTGCCACAGTCTCAGGCATCACCAACTCCCTGCCATGTGCTCTGCCATGCTGTGGCAGCATGGAGTGTGACTTGACCTCTGAGTGCACTGGTGGTCTGTGTGGTGTCTGAGACTGTTGTATGGAGCTCATGGTGTGCAGCTGTCATCATGCATTTGGGGTGTGGGTCCGTAACATGGGGGAAGGGAGGCTCCCAAGGTTCAGTGGCCTGGGATGACGCCGTATGCAGGTGCTGTGGGAACAGGCTCTAGGGTGTCTACCGCCTGATCTGTGTCCTTCAGTGTGCTTGGAATGTTCACATCCACCACCCCAGGAACTGTGGCCTGCTGGTGGTCAGACCTACCTGCCTGGCTGCTGGTAGATGGCTGAGGCTTGGATGTGTCCCATGAGTCCTCGGTGAAGAGTTCCTGGGATGCCTCCTCAGAGGACATGGAGGGGGCCTGGGAGGCCTGTTGGGCAGGAACCCACCGAAGACTCTGGAGTACCCTTCTTGGCTGTATGTCTCCCTCACCGTGGAGGGCCTGGAGAGAAGTAAGACTTTCCTCCATGAATTGCTCTGATCCTGACAGGGGAGATGAAACCAGAGAGATGCAGTGTAGAGAGAAATCCCAGAGCGAAAAGGGAGATTTTCTCTTTCTTTCTTTCAGCAGAAAGGGAGATTTTCTCTTTCTTTCTTTCTTCTTACTCGCTCTCGCTCTCGCTATCTCTCTCTCTCTCTCTCCCTTTCTTTGTTAGCGAAGAAAATATTAATAGAATTTTATTTTTTTAGGAATTCTCCCAAGAGGAGAGGGAAAAATAACAAAAGTTCTGAAAGGTGCCCCCCCTGTGCTGCCTTAGATCCAAAGGCTGCTTGAAAGGTGCCGAAAGGGGACTCTGGGATGCTGGGCAGATGTTTCCATCTGATCGCACCCCTTTACTCTGCGCAGGAATCGCGTCTATGCCACTGCTAATTGTACGTATGATCGCACCCCTGGTCAGTTATCCAGGCAACTAACTCTAAGGCATAATGGCTTTTAAAAGGAACAAGACAATGGCTTGTCTTTGTCAACGGCTGTCATCTACAAAATAAGGGTGCAATATATTTCCGGGGGGGGGGGACATTCTCTTTATTAAGCATGCATTTAAAAAGTCAACAAAATGTCCATTAACTCAACTAAAGAAACAAAATCAGTCTGAGTTATAGCATCAGTGCCCATTACTTAAAACCACTGTCAGTAGCAAAGACAACTCAATTTCAACTCATTGTTATTGTTGGCCTACAATAACTGGAAAGATGTATGTTACATATATTGAAGATGAAAGTTAGAAACAGAGTGCTCCATCAAGAAGTTGGATAAAAATGAAACCAAACTGATCTAGTTACCATTCTGAATCCATGACTGATAGGTTTCTGGGCAGCTATTAAAATAAGAAAATAAGCAAAGAAATTCTCATAAAGCTCTTTTAGATATATTGGCTCATAAAAATTGTCAATTTGAAACTAAAAAATGGACCATGTTGAGCATATAAAGCAGAAAGGCCCTGATTCTTTAAAAAGTATGGTTCATCTAAGTCTCTATTAGTAGAAATAAAAGAAAACTGGCTATACAAGTTGACATCTGTGAGCAGAAAGAAAATTGGCATTGTGGAAAATATCAGGTGGCTACACTAAATCAAGTGGCATCTGACACTGTTACATACTTGTAAGCTTCCAAAGTGTTTATGAGAAGCACAAAAGACCATTTGGAAAATTCTATGAGGTGTAGCTGACTACCGATGAGAGTTTTTTGCATACATCATCCATCATGCTGACAATGCACAAAGGAATATATGATTCTGATATACTGAGATTTAACTTATTTTGTTTTCATAAGTCTTTGTTATTTCCCATTGATTTCAGTGGAATGCCTGGATGTCATGATGGTTCTTTGTACATGCAATTTTTTTTTAATGGAAGAACATTCAGTCAGATGAGTTTTCAAACAGAGGTTTTCAAACAGAGGCTAGATGGCCATCTGACAACAATGTAGATTCTGTGAACTTAGGCAGATCATGAGAGGGAGGGCAGGAACAGTTGCCTCAGTGCTTAGTTCTTGTGGCCTTTTCTTACATGCCCAGGGAAATGCTGATTGCCACTTTGGGGTCAGGAAGCAATTTTCTCCAGGCTGGTCTGGCCAGGGATCCTGGAGGTTTTTTGCCATCTTCTGGGCATGGAACAGTGGGCACTGCGAGTGTGGAGGGGAAAGGTATTTGTGAATTTCCTGCCTTCTGCAGGTGGTTGGACTAGATGACCCTGGAGGTCCCTTCCAACTTATGAGTTCCTTCCTATAATCTAAAGTCCTACTATAATTTTCTTGAATTTCTACCTTTGTGGTTTACCAGCCAAACTGGACAAAACTCAGAACTATTTCCTGAGAACACCCACACTGCCAAATTTCAGATAGATAGAATAAAAGGAGGGGGGACTTTTTGAGTCAATAAAAGGTACCCACCTTTAACGTTAAAGTATATGGAAGAACTGATAGGAAAGATTTCATATAGTAAACCAACAAACACCGCAGCCATTTATTTATTTATTGGCCCCCCAAAGGGGAATTTTTTATTTTTTTGCATTTTCTACTCACTACAATTATGGGATGAGGAAAGGGATACTAATACCCTGACACTAATACTATGGGTGATGGGTAAAGGAAATCTAATACATATATCTACTTGATAGGGAGAGGGAAACTACCGTTCTAATCTATTTCATCTACTGGATTTGGGGAAAGGAAAAAGTCTTTTCATGTCACTATCTAAATAGTTGAGAAAATAATGCTTTTTAACCTAATATTACAAGTTATACAAGGATTTGGTTAAATTATGATAGTACACCTTTAATAGCTTAACACAATTACTGCCTTTAGCACTATTGTCTTAATTCTAGAGTCTTTTCTTCTTGCGTTTCTTCATTTTCAGGAGTTTGGGGGCAGCCTCTCCTTTCTCCGATTCAGATTATTCTGATGACGTGGAGTTTTGGCTTGTTGAATCCTGTGAGTAGGATTCTTCTTCTTCTTCTTCCTCATCTGGTTTTAAATTCTTTTTCTTCTGCTTCTTTTTTATATTAAATATTTGATCCATAAATTTTTCTGCTTTTGGAACAGAGTCTATTTTATATTTTTTTGTCCTGGTAGTTGAAGCTCAGTGCTTCTGGGAATAACCATCTATATGGTATTCCCTTTTTTTGCAGAGTGAGAGTGAGCATCCTGTAGAGTTTCCTCCATTTTATAACTTCAAAGGGGATGTCTTTAAAAAAATTTACATCTTCATTCTTGATTTTGAAGGGTTTTTCCATTGTTGACTTTAGCAACAGTTCTCTGATAGATCGTTTCGTGAATTTTCGGTAGGTTTCCCCTGGACGTTTGTTTTTTCTTTATGAAGTCCGGATAAGTCCTATAAGCCACATCCATCTCTTTTATTAAAACTTCTTGTTTATAATCCATCAATGGGGCCAAGGCAACCACTAAAACTTCTTTTAAATCCTCATTCTTCTCTTCAGGGATCCCATGGAAACAGAACGTACATGGATCTTTCCAACTGGAGCTGTATTAGTTGCGTTTTATCAGAGAATCTCTCCTTCTCTGCTTCATCCACTCTTTTGTTAATGCTCTCAGTCTGTTTTTCCATCTTTTTCAATGTTTTCTCAGTTGCTGAGGTTCTTTTATCCATTTGGTTCAATTGTTTTTTTGGACATTGTCCAGCTTAGTGTTGAGGTTAGTCATCTGATCCACTGGGGGGTGCAGTGCATTTGCTAACAGTGAAGAAAAGTCTGTAGTTACCTCCTGGTTCTGGGAGGGAGTCGTTGGTATGTTATTTTCAGTCACCAGTTTTTCCGCCGGTGCCCTTCATCCTCTCCCAGTCATAATATCAACAAGAAGTAAGTTTTCCAAAACAAGACAAAATTTATGCAATTTAAGCCCGCTTTGTGTACTTTAGCAATTTTTGCATTCACTTAAGTTCTTATGTACTTCTTTTGGCTCAAAGTCTTTTTATTTCTGATTTAAAACCGTTTTTAAAGTTTACTCAAAAGAAGGGGGGGGTGCTTGAATTCCTTTCCCCCAGTGCTTCAAACATAGGCGCTTCCAATTACTACCAAGGTTCAGTTCGCTTTTTTCATCTGGACTTTGCTTAACTCACAGTTTGGAGTCTTGGAGATATTTTGGAAGCATTTTTAGAAGTTTGATCATGATTGCTTGCTCTGGCAGTCGTCTCTGGGTACCATATTGGCTCCGCAGTGACAGTACCTTTCGGGGGGAAAGGTGAGCCTCAATTCCTTGGCTGTCACCTTGGAAGAGGCTCTCCTCAGCTCCCCAGGCTGGGGGTTTTCTACAGAGACCCCAGGGAAGTCCAGGCCAAACTCGGACCCCTCCCATCAGCCAGGTCTCAGCGTGTCTCCATCAGAGCGAGATGGGATGCATCCGAGTGGCGAAACGCTTAAACTGGAAGTCAACACTGCAGCCATTTAGTGTGAAGAACAGTAGCACAAGGTAGAGGCAGACCAACCATTTGGTGGCACAAGGAGGGTATGGCATCTGTGTAGGCACCAGGAGGAATATTAAGACAAAGATTTGCTTGGATGAGGAATAAAATTTGGAGAGCAGCAAGCAAGCAGGGGAGTGAAGACTGCAAGAGGAAAATAGACAGAGCAGGGTAGGCAATGAGTGGAGAGAGGAAAGCAAAATCCCACCTCATATACTGCAGGATTGAAACACCTCACACATCTATGAAATCCTAGTGGTTACAGCTTGCAGACAATCAAGAAAGCCCAGAGACTCTCTTCCTGATAAGGAACACAGTGCTAGCTCTATGCCTTTTCTTACGAAAATGT